GTTGGGCAGTCGATCCAAAATGAAAATACAATATTAAAATTAGAGTCTAGCATGATAAATATATTTGACATTATATTTTTGACAAATTTTGAAACATTTTTTTGTTATTTTACTTAAAATCCTAGGGAATATTTCAACTTCCTTGAAAAATTATTTTTTTAATATTCCATGGGCGACCCTACGCCATCGTAAAAGTAGTGGTAATCGATGCACTTTCAATGTATAAAAAGTACAACCTTGTTTGAATTTCTCCTTATCTAAGCACCCTTTTTATTCCTCAGATCGGGCTGCTGACGAAGTACGGGTACCCGGCGGAGGTGCACGAGGTGACGACGGACGACGGGTACATCCTGTCGCTGCACCGCGTGCCCTACTCGCCCGCGTCGCCCCTGCAGGAGGGCAAGCAGAAGCCCGTGGTGTTCCTGCAGCACGGCCTGCTCTGCTCCTCCGCCGACTGGGTCGTCATGGGGCCCGGCGCCGGCTTCGGTCAGTGCAGATTCACGCATATTACACATTCACTTGTCTCGAAAATACGCCCCCGTTTCCTTGGGTCCTCAATGTTGTAAATCCCTACATACCCCTTCAACCGTTGACATACCTCGCAGTGAAAGGCGGCGGTCACAGTTGAGCAGATGTTGGGAGGCCCACGCCGGGCCTTTTCAATAAGTCGACGGCCGCCGCATCCGTTCCAATAAGTCTTAGTGAATGGAGAATGCCATCGTGAGTCCGAATACATCCAACGACGTCCGAAATCATCGTCTGTCGGGAGAAGATTTGTTTCGTTGGTTTGGTTAGTCCCATGTCGGCCAACAGAAATTTCGGCCTAAATCGTCTTGACCATCACTTTACCCTTTCTATTGCACCCATCCAGGTTCAAGTGGTCGGTCAAAGATCTGTGGCCCCAACCACGGGAATAAAACTGATATAAATGAACCTCTTCGGCTCTTAAATTTCTTCGCAGTTGTGGGATCGTTATTGCCCGTACCTGCGAGATTGTTCGCATAAATCTGTACCAAATACAGGTTTAATGGTAATAGCTTTGTTAAATTCTTAAGCGGGAAAAGAACCCAGAGGGGTCGATCTAGACATTTGAAAGCGGATATGGAGTGTTCGTATGCACGTGATGTACAAACCCGTACGAATAAAACTGACACATATCCGGGAAGTGCATCCAAATCCCTTTATTATCTTTTTAACACTTTGATCTTGATTACTTGGATATCGGTTTCTGCGGGTTTATCAATCTTGCGCCTCTCCTTCTTCTATTTTATTAGTATATTCCTTCCTTTAACCTTATCCACATTCCACCATTTTCTACTTCTTCTTCTTCTTCCTTATCTGACTGAATGCACAATATAT